CCTGAAAGGTGGTATTATGCCAAATCTTTAAAGTGTGTGTTTATTTCATGCAGAAGTGCACTTTAGAAAGCGGCCTGACACTTGAACCAGATCAGGGTCTGATTATAATAACCTGCCTGCTGAATGCTGTTCATGTCGGCGCTGCTGAATCGACCGTTCAGGGTCTTCAACTCGTAACGTATGTTTTGTTTATCTCAGATATATCTCTCAAGATTTTTCAGTCATTGCTTATATAAAAACTCAAACTAGATCAATGACAAAGCTACTATACGATGTAAATAACTGCAGCCAGGCACAAACGTCTTCTGTTAATGGGGAGCTTTTATATGCAGAGAGTTCAGCCCTGTTTCCAGTAATTAAGTTCATGTTTATCAAATATGCATCAGATCATATACCATATGGCTAACATAGCATAGACAGAATTAATTTGTTGTAGTTTAAATAAAGTAGAAATGTTCTTAATGTGTCTGAGAAGTTGCAAAAATATGAAGAAGGGACTTTTAAGAATATTGGCTACTGATGTCATATTTCTTTAGTTTTATGCCAAAATGCAATCCTACACTTCCCAAGTGAACATTCCTTTAAATACAGAAAAGTCTGATGCATACAATGTTTTTTTATTAAAGATCAAAAAAAACATGATCTTTTCTTCAACTCAAACATTTCCTTTATCTCCTAGACTAATGATGATCCTTTTCTGGCCTTGAATAAATTGCTTTTATTGCCTTATTTAACTATAGATAAATATAATAGATGCAAACTTTACACAGTCGTGTGACAGTCGAAGATTGTGGACACCCTCAGCGGTATTTCCAGCACTTAATACAAAGCCAGTATTTCATTTTAAAAAATGTATCTGTGAACACAATGCAGGAAGAGATCCCATTGTCAACATAACACAAGTTGGAAAGCAGTTTAGTTATTTGCAAACCTAACTTTTGTGAGAGCGGTTCTGGGAGTTACAGATAAATGCATTACAGTACTCCATTCAGCACTTGCACATTGTGAACTGCTTTGAAGATTGATGGTGACTTCTCAGCGGGGCCATCTGGGCCCCCTGACTGTCAAAACCTTTGACTTTAGCTGACGAGACCCACTTGAATGGTTTTAGCAGACTGTTTAATATCTGTAGGAGGGACAAGTTCACCTTCAAGAGCCACATCCTGCAGGAGGATCCGGCCCCCTGACTCAGGAGGCTGTTATTAATAAGCCGTATTCTTGGTACACTGGCCACATTGTTGGCTCAGCTTGTCAAACTCAGAATCTAAAGCTCTTAAGGAAACACAGTTCTCTTTTCATCATCCGATTTGTCCTTTTCTACTGCAGGAATAAAAACAATCTTACAGGAAAGGTATGTGAAGCGGAGCTATGATGACAGGATCTGATTTTTTAGATTTCTGCACTGCTCAGGAGGTCAAACTAAATGCAAAAAGTGAAAAGGGTTTTAAAGAGTGCAGTCAACCCTGAGGTGCTCAGCAGATGTGTTCTCACATTACGACAAGAATGAAATCAAGAAAAGAGCTGATGAGGTTAACTTAAACTTAATAAGTACTTAGTGCACCCCCCCCCCCCCTGCTGTTTTTACAGCGTCATAAATGTGATTGCTGATGTGACGCAATATCCAATGCTCGTGATCTGTTAGGGGTTAGGGTAGTGGGTGTTATAACTATACAACATCCCTGTATTCATATTCCTGCCCTGTGCTGTTTTCATGTCGAGAGCTCTTTACAGATTGTGGTTCTACAACAGCGTCCATGACAAAGTCCTGGCGTCATTACACCTTGGGTTAGGGTTATTATTTGTATTATTATTATTATTTTTATGTATTTACATATTGTATCCATAATGGCCTAAAATTGGTGTCCCAGTTTGTGAATTCTCATGACTTCACTGCATTGTCACTGCGTGTCATCAAACAGCGCTTCACTTTTACACACACACACACACACACACTCAGGCTCACCAGCTCTGACATTACACGCTGCCACCATCCCCCCCCCCCCCTTTAACACCTCTGTTACTCAGAGTCGTAATGACTTCGACCTACTATTCCGCCCCCGTGCATTACACACAGCAGGCGTAACAGGGCTGTAAGTCCTCAAGTGTTCATTCTGTATGCACCAGAGGGCTGCGGTGGCTCAGCGGTCGGGTGGGTCGTCTCTTAATCAAGAGGTTGGAAGTTCAGTCCCCTGCTCCGGCAAGTCAAAGTGTCCTTGGGCAAAACCCTGAATCCCAAGTTGCCCCCAAAGTGTGTGACTATATATGAATAAGATTAGTGCTAATTTAGTTAGCATCTTCTGCTATCAGTGTGTGAATGTTAAAGGGGGAATGTGACATAAAATGCATGTGTAAGTGCAATATAAGTGCAATCATTTACCATTTCTACTGTACCTCGTACAACTCCACTTTTAAAATGCTGAACCATCACTTTGATCTAAATGGGCTTCCTGGTCAAGTGTATGTTAAACGTTGTATGCACGTTAGCATTTGGGCTAAGTAACCATTTTGTCCATATAGTCTCCCAGAGCTCATAGTATGTGTCTGCAGACTCTTCTTCTGAAGATTTAACTTCTAATATGCCCTCCCTCTCTATTACAGTGTGGATACTAAAAGATACAGCCGTCCCAAGTCTGCTTATGTATTCCAAGAAATCTATCTAGTCTAATATTAATGCAGCATATAATATCTTTTTATAGCGCCAGTCGGGCTCTCTGTGGTGCAGAGGTGATGAAATGTAGAAGCAGCACATATAAAAGGGTAAACCGTGTTAGTTCCCTGCATCCCTGATAGACGCAGCCTGTGCAGATGGTGCCTGGCAGCCTCTCGGTAACAGTTGTATGACAAGCAAAGCACATGTATTGACAGGTTACGTAACAGAGAGCGAGTGTCTGCCCGCTGAAAAAAAAAAAAACACACACTAACCACACAAACAGGAGAAACTGTGTCGGATATTGTTTTTTTAATTAATTTGGCGACAGATCAGTTTTATAATTAAAATTATTCATTTGAATTAATGAATAAATCCTGTTCAAAGGTCTGCCCCGTTCCCTGCTACCTCTCTTATATCATGACGCATTTCTCTCCATTAACCTTATCCACCTTCCGACAGTGTGCAGCTCCTTTCTTGTGTCACTGCAGAAGCATAAGATTAATGCCGCCCTTTCAAAAATGTTCCAGGACACTCCCTCACATCTTCAGTAAACAGCACAAACATTTCTGCCACATCTACCCCCCCCCCCCCCTCTCTGCAGAGGATAACACAGCATGCCATAATGCTAATACAACAAATATCATTCTTTATTTTTTTTTTATCAAACACAAACGCTGTAGCACCTCGGAAGCATAAAATATTAATAAATAATCATGGCAGCTAGAAGGAAGATGTATATCCCCCTGTTGTATTGAACTGTGTGTCGCCCAGAGGCAAGAAAAGCTTTTACTATATTTTGAAAAGCTGGAGTTTTTATAAAGCGTTCAACATGGCGCTTATTCATTATTGATGTCGGGTTTTCATGCTACCCTCTACAGCATATTTGCAGGAACATTTCTCAATGACTGCCGTGGTGGGAGGACTATGTTTGCTCTTTGGCAACATATTGTGTTTGTAAATGGTCAGAAATCAAAGTAGCAGACACTCCTTTGGTCACATCTTTTTGGACATGTACAGGACAAATCACACCGAGGTGCAGATCACGATTAAAAAGGTTGGGTTGGTCATCCTCTGATTTCTGCTGCGCACCTTTGCTGGAAGCTTGTTCTTAACCGGGTATCCTCCCTGATCATGAATTCCCATAAAACAACAGGTTCAACTCCAAAGGCAGGGCAATCTGCTGAAAAAATAAAAGCACCGTTTAACAAGCCATTTGCCCCAGCTGCAATTACACTTTTCCAACTACAATTAGACTGGCAGTAAACCTGCAGCCAGACTGCTAAATGGTAGGAACAGTTATCGATGTACTGTAGGGGTTTGTAGTTTAGTGGCTCAGGCTTTATGCACTGGATGATACAACAGAAGGCAAATGTAGGGATGATTTACTAATATATAGCTCCTTTTGGATGGACAAATGGATGGATGGATGTATGGATGGATGACTAGATGGATATATGGATGGATGGATGGATGACTAGATGGATATATTGATGTATGTATGGATGGATGGGTGGGTGGATGGACGTATGTAAGGATGGATGGAAATATAGATGAACGTATGGATGTATGTATGGATGGATGACTAGATGGCTATATGGATGGATGGATTTAAACTTTTAACTTATCTTATTAACCTCACCACTGTTACTTACAGAAGCACAAAGCGGACATACATCCATAACTTTAATTTTACTGAAAAAAATAAATCTACTCATTTCTGTGATGTGTCAGTTTTGTGAGTTAATTAACTACTTTTGGCGTGTAACAAGCATTGTTGACCTAAGATAACGAGACGAATAAGTCAAGATCTCAAAATAATGTAATGTACTCTTTATCACAGGGAGAAAAAGCATGGATGCATGTCCTCTATGGGCCACCATATTATTGTTAAAGCTGTGTTTCAACAAATCCTCACCTCCTACTGTTCACCTCATCCTTTCTTTTTCCAAATTAAAGACACTCATTTACAATCTCTGCAAGATGTTATCATCTCTATTCTTTCTCTGTGTCTCTGTTCTTAACAAAATAAACAATGACAAAACTGTTGTTCATCTTTGAATTTCCCAGTGTTCATCATTGTATCATATTTTTTTCTGAGAACATTGTTCAGTTCCCATTAGACCTTCTATTTTTGTTTTATTCTGTGTATTCCACATAAACCACAGAAATATCATCATTGCCTTTCAGGTTTGTTTATTTACTCTTGATGTTTTTTGTTGGAAGCTTTCAGCCAAAAATGATAAAAGCGTCATAAACAAGCCAAGGGAAACATTCAGAGAGAAGCGAGTTTCATTTAAATGAATATTTCTGCCTCTGTTATGGATACTAACTACTTCCTCTTCTCTTATAGAGCCTTGATAGAAACATCGTGGTACGCAGCCACGCACGGGTGTCCTCTCTCACCTTGAAGAACGTCCAGTTCACATACGCCGGCCTCTATCTCTGCTCCGCCAGCAACTCCATCGGACAGGACGACCAGCTCATGTACCTGGAAGTCCGCTGTAAGTCATCCGCTACTTTCTACACACTCATCCTGCTCGCCTTTTTAGAGCTTCAACGCAAAACACCATCCCTTTGTTAATCATGAAACCAGGAGTATATCAAGCTTTCCTGATACATTTTAATTTATAAGTTTCATTTCAGTCACAGGATAAAAGCCACTAAATGCATCTCTGAAAATGTTGAATTATGTCTCAAACTGCATCGTGTTGAAGTCATAATTGGCATAATTTACTTTTTCTAAAGAGTTGTTGGAAGGTTGTTAAGATATGAACACCTCTGAGAACCTTTGAATGCTCATAGAATAAGTTTCAATGGTCAATCAATCCATCAAACTTTTTTTATAAAGCACCTTTCAATTACAGTTCAAAGTGCTTTACTAAAGTGAGTCACGAAAAAGTAGTTTGTAGAAGTGATGTAGTCAAGACCACACTTACCGAGACCAAGACATACCTGAGACCGGAGTGCTCCGAGACCAGGACAAGACCAAGACATTAAGGGATCGAGACCAAGTGAAGACCAAGACATACCCGAGACCTGAGTGCTCCGAGACCAGGACTAGATTGAGACATTAAGGGACAGAGACCAAGTGAAAACCAAAACCAAGACAGGCTAGATCGAGACAAGACCAAGACATTAAGGGATCGAGACCGAGTGAAGACCAAGACCAAGACAGGACTAGATCGAGACAAGACCAAGACATTAAGGAATCTAGACCAAGTGAAGACCAAGACCAAGACAGGACTAGATCGAGACAAGACCAAGACATTGAAGAATCGAGACTGAGTGAAGACCAAAACCTAGACAGGACTAGATCGAGACAAGACCAAGACATTAAGGAATCTAGACCAAGTGAAGACCAAGAAACAAGACATTAAGGGACTGAGACCGAGTGAAGACCAAGACCAAGACAGGCTAGATCGAGACAAGACCAAGACATTAAGGAATCTAGACCAAGTGAAGACCAAGAAACAAGACATTAAGGGACTGAGACTGAGTGAAGACCAAAACCAAGACAGGACTAGATCGAGACAAGACCAAGACATTAAGGAATCTAGACCAAGTGAAGACCAAGAAACAAGACATTAAGGGACTGAGACCGAGTGAAGACCAAGACCAAGACAGGCTAGATCGAGACAAGACCAAGACATTAAGGAATCTAGACCAAGTGAAGACCAAGAAACAAGACATTAAGGGATCGAGACAAGACCAAGACATTAAGGGATCGAGACAAGACCAAGACATTAAGGGATCGAGACAAGACCAAGACATTAAGGGATCGAGACCGAGTGAAGACCAAAACCAAGACAGGTCTAGATCGAGACAAGACATTAAGGGAATCATCCAGTGTGCAGGGGGCGGTGTCACTCACTGAGACTGTAACACGGGGGAGGTTACGACCGTCACCAGGGGATAAAAATCTAAATATGAATGTACTGAAGTTATTTTAACTTCTAGAGAGAGGCGTTTTCCTTCTAATCACATTTATGACGCTGAAAAAAACCTGTCAGTGGTGGTCTTGATGTAAAATCACGAGGCTGCTCAGTCTGAGACCGAGAAAAGACAGAGTGAAAATGCTTTAGATTTCAAGACGAGACCAAGACCTTCAAAAAGTGGTCTCGAGACCGATTCGTGAAAAATCATTAAGAGACTGATGCACGGCAAGAAAAATAATTTAATAAAATAACAATAAAATAAATATGGATGGAAAAAGTCTTACAAGAAGCAATAAGATAATACACACAAGAAAGGTTTCAAATTGTAGTAAAATAATAAAGACAATCCAATAACGTTAGGATTGAATTAATTTATAAATGTATAAATGCATGTAAAATAATAAGAATAAGATTGTAAAAATGATTATGTGTTAATAAAGTCAGAGAAATGAAATAATCACCATGATAATAAATACATAAAAAAACTAAAAATCTCAAATCAAACAGTAAAATTTTAATCTAGACATACTGATAACAACTTAAGTAAATGAAGAATATCCATAAAATGATAAAGTACTAAATGAGAGCCAGACAGAATACGTTTAAAAATCCTCATATTCTCGGCTCCTCTCACATCGTCTGGAAGTGTGTTCCACATTCTCAGAGCGTGCTATATACATTTAAACTTTCTCAGCTTAAGCAGAGGAAGGAAACCTTGTGACAGAAGTACATCTGTCTTTTGTTGGCCTTGATGTGGAAGAGCTGCTGCAGCTTGCTCCTGTCTCCTCTGTTTGTAAGAGAAGTGTCATGGAGTCATGAAGTTTCAGTTTGAAAGATTCCCGACTCATCGTGGATTGTTTCTCGTCGGTCTCTCATGCTCAGCGTGTTCCAGCAGACGCTCGGTGCCCAGGTGTTTTCTAGATGTTTCCATTTTCGCTCAGCTGTGTTTCCCTCTGCTCTCTGAAACAGTTTTTGACAGCATTATGAGATATTCTCTGAGCTTCCGTCATTAGCTGCTGATCTCACCTGCAGGCAGAGAAATCAATACCGCCGGCGAACAACAGAAGGAGTGAGACAATACTTTCTCCAGTCAGGAAAAGCTTCAGGATGTGGACGTGCAAAACCCTGCAGTTTTGTTGAGGGTCTGCTTGAGGCTGGGCTCCAAGAGACCTGGAAGTCACATTTACACCTCATTCAAAAGAGCCCGTTTTCACCTCAGACATTAACATGTTTACAGCCTGGTACAAAAACACATATTGGTCTGAGTAGGTATTGTCAGCATGGGCACACAATGTAATTTTTTTACAATGCTTATGTTTTGATTATACAGTTTTTTTAGTTTAGTTTTTTAGTTTATTATTGTGTCATACATACATCCATATGCCCAGCCTGCATGGGCTTACATGACATCATAAATTAAAAACGTTCCCGGACCAGAGTGCACTAGGTAAGCTATATTCATTTTCAAGAAACATAAAGAGAAAGCAAAAGCAAGTCAAACTAATTAAACAGAATATCTTGTCTTCTTTTCCAGGCATTTGAAACAAAATTAGCAAGTTTAAACACATCAAAGTTATTACAGTACTACAGTATGAACAATACCAGTTATCCATAGTTAGGTGTGTAGCTGACAGGCTGGTGCGATTTAACGGTTTGTCAGGATGCTCCAGCTCTCGGCCTGTTGTTAGGTTGACTAAAAGTTAGGTTGAGACAGGATTTCCAGCATGGCGGCTGCTCCCAATGAGCCTCCTGAGCCCCCTGCTGGAACAGATGGCTGACGTCACTCAGGCTTCGTCCTTTCATATTTACAGTCAATGGTTCAAACCTGCCTTATGACTGACTGTTATTAGACGATCTCTCAGCTTCTTTAACATGAGATGACTCACTTTATGATTGTTAGGGTTAGGGTTAGGGTTGCACCAACATTCTCTTTGAAGAAGATCAACTTTTTACACAACCTGGAGCTGGTTCAACAACGTCAGACTGTAAGACTAGACTAGAAAGGTATTCTGCCTTTAGCCTGTTGCACCAGCTTAAAATTATGTTGAATAGATCTCAGTGACATTTGACTTTAACGATGTCAAACAAAAAGTCAAATGTCCATACTTTAAAACTATTCTTGTTGTTTAATAACACAGAGTCTTAACAGTCATCTGGATTAACCATGTTGCAGACAGTGAAGATCTAAAACGATCCATTAAAACACAATAGTAAAGAAGCTCACATTCTGACTCAACATCCAGCAGCTTCCTGTACTGTCATGTGTTTTCACTAATCTTACAATTACTGTAACACACTTACACATTAACACAAAAGCAACCCCAGTGAAAGTCTTCCATCACTGCTGAAATATTCTGTTGAACTTAACAAGGTAACTTTTATAAGTTCACGTTACAAGCAACCGTGCCGAAGGCAATCCCCATCGAGGGTGACACGAAGCCTCATGAAGTAACTGTGTCACGCAACAGTTAGCGAGCATGTCGGTGTCATCACAGACGTGCAGATGTGTCGTCTGTCATAGCAAATGTGCTCCGGGTATAAATATCACAGATTTTTTTCTTCCCCTCTGGATCTTCAAACATGATTTCCACCAGTCTACAAGCAGAAAAAGAGTCATACTTTAAACTGCTCCAGGGAGAGAAAGTGTTATCATAACTCGACTTTGTCATTTTGAAGACGCAACCCACTTTTAGTCAGTTGTTGCATAAATGACAGAAACACTACAGTCACACCAAAGTGTGTTTGAACGCACATCTTGCACATATCTCTTGCAACAGGCTGCTTTTCAGAAGCTGCACAAAGCTCTTTACTTTATGAATATGTTCAGATAATTCAGTACTAGAAAAAACATAAATATGTCCTTTAGGTTAAACATTTACTTTGCAATTACTTCAGTAGTTTATAGATATGTGCATAGAAAACCAGACGCTGTTGACGAGGAGAGAAAAGTCCCAAATCTGGGGGAGAACAACGTGAGAGCTTGTAGAGAGCAGAGGAATGTGTGTGAGGACACAGTGTATAAGCTGTCACCTCTGCTTCTGGGGATAAACGGTGGGCGAGGGAGCCGAGTTTGCTGGGTCAATGGTACCACTGCGATTAGTTTCCATGGAAACAAAAAGGTCTCAGTTCTGACATAGCCTCAGGGTACAGTGGCTTTTGAGGCTTAGAATGACTCTGTGTAATTACCGAGGTCTTTGATCATCCTTACTCGAGACTAAAATGCTTTTTGCCACAATTCTGTCTCTTATTGACATTTATACACAGGCTGTATTAGAGAATGTCAGGGGCCTTAATTATACTTTTTTTTTTGCACTTGCATGACTGCGAGGCTCTGTTAGGGTGCACATTATATCCAACGCTGGACATTTTCACCCGCTCTGCAAAGTGGCTTCAGTCCGACAGTATTAGGACAAAGATATTTCTGTTATGTTTGGCCTCTGTGCTTTAATGAAACCAAATACTTCACATTAATATGGGGTTAATGTGCCTCTATATGTGCTCAACAGCAACAGCTATCTTTGGTTAATGCTTGCAGGGAGACATTGTTTCTACATGTGTAATTAATTCCATGTAGATGTAAATTCATACAAATACTAGCAGAAAAAAACAACAAACTGTTTCTTCTTAAATCAGAATTCCAGACTCAGAAATAGTCTCAGGCCCTGGTATTTTTTCTAATAATTTATCTTCTTTTAAATCACCGTGGTCTCATTTTGAAATCCATTGAATATCACCGCTAAGAACAGATAAACATGCCAATGAGCGCATAATTGGATTAATATGCCCTGCTCTCAATACAGCAGCGGTTAGCGCAGATACAATCACGACGACGCCTTTGATAGAGTCTTTTGAAGGGGCTGCAGTTGGCTCGAGTAATCAGCGAGTAATCAGGTAGCTGATTCACTGTTGCCAAGCAATTATTGATAAGAAAAGGTGCTTTGTCTTGAGCGCGGTTCTCACTCTCCGTCCTCTCCATCACCGCTCGCCCACTCGCAGAATAAGGACCTTATCTTGGCGTGGAACTTCCTATCTGCGGCACAGCGTGATCCCATTAGCGGATGGCTGAGTGTGTCTGTACGTGTGCTGCTGAAGGACTGACAGGGAAAGTGTTAATTCCTCCTGTTTGAGCTCAGGTTTGTCAGCAGACAGAGTTCATTTAGCATCAAAGTCTAATGAGAGCTCTGTTTAAGCTGCAGGCAGGTCGCTTCTGCTGAGCTCCTCGATGATCCATCAGGGAAACACCTGACTGTAGAAAACATGGACGTAGTAGCGTTGACTTCACCCAGAGTTTTGAAGCTCAATGATAGTGGATGTCATATTGGAAATGTTGTCTCAACCTAACTTTCGATCAAATTGCAACAGGCAAACAGATGGAGCTGAGGCGGGTCTTAAGCCTCCTGGCAATCAGCTACTAAGCACCACCCTGTCAGTCAGATCAGCCATGCCCGGTATTATTAAAAACACTTAGCCTTAATATCAGATGAGTTTTTAGAAAGAATAATTCTGAAATTTCTGCCTATAAAGAAATTAGTTATTCAGACCAAAACTCATGAAAGAGGTTGTAAACATGTTCCTTTCCGCTGTAAAAACATTTTATCACAGAGTGTGGATGTGACTCATTCTGGGGCTTCTGCAGCCAGCCTCAAGTGGACACTTGAGAAACTGCAGTTTTTTTGCATTGGCTTCATTTTTCAAAACTGGAGGTGGACACTCCATATGCACAACAAAAGTTATACACTTACTATTCAACTTTATTCCTATGAATGACAGAATCCTTAATTCCTACATTCATATTAAACGTTCAATGGGACGCTGGTGGTGCAGTGGTTAGTGCACACGTCCCATATAAGGAGGCTGTAGTCTTCCAAGCGGGCCGCCCAGGTTCGGATCTAGCCTGTGGCTCCTTTCCCGCATGTCATGCCCCCACTCTCTCTCCCTGATTTCTAACTTTATCCACTGTCCTATCGCTCAATTAAAGGTACAAAAAGCCCAAAAATAGGGTTAAAAAAATTTATAATTATATTCAACCTCAGTCCTAGTTCTGCAATGAATCCAGTTACATTCCTCATGTGGTGTTTGTGTTTCACCAGCAGCATAAACATTCCTGGGTATTTTAAAAACATATCAATAATCTCACCTAGACCCGCGCGGGGGGGCTGCAGAAATCAAACAGTCAGGTCACAGCACTGCGGGAAGTCAATGAGGCCCAAAAGCAGAACTGATAGAAGGAGTCAGAGTCTAATCAGAGCTGCAGGCGATGGAGCATCTATCGACTCAGCCTCGTCCATCAATCCCAGCGGCTGCACTCCTGCCCAGTTTTTTTTTTTTTTAAGGATGCAGGGTCAGAAGTATAAAGCCCCCGGCAGTGTCAGGGGGGCCGCGGCGTTTTCACAGCACTCGGCAATCGAAAGCATACTTCAGCACATCCAGAGGCGCTAATCAGAGATGTGAGCCACTTGTAATAAAAGAAAAGAAAGCAGGAACAGTCAGCTCCTGTTATAGCCTCTGACTTTTTAATGATGATTCCCATCAGAGTTAAAGGCTCAGGGTGAAGAGTTCTGACCGTGTGGTTTCAGCTCTGTTAGCATGTCGTTACATTTTACTGATAAAAGCATCACATGCAGTGGTGTGTTCGTGTCTTTGCAGGGATACAAATGACACTTGTCTCAGCTTTATTTAAAATATTTCATGCTATCGTGCAGCCAGAAGTACTTCTTATGGGAACAGAAATACAGAAAAAAAGAGTAAAATATTGCAAGACCACAAAATAATCACTGTTGTTTGTCAGCGATTGAAAAGTTTGCTACTTTTTTATTTTATTTTAACTTCTGGCATTGTGAGCTCCTCTTGTTTTGACCTCTCATGTCTTAATTGAAGAGATGGTTTTTGCATCTATCTCAGCCTGTGGACCCACAAAGTGTTGTGCAAGTATCTCCTCTGCCAAGTTTCCTCAGTAGCAAGACACCTAAGAGTCACTCTGATGATGCCCAGAGTAGGCGAGGGTTTCAAGACCAAAAAATAAAACATTAAAACAATCAAATGTTACAAATCAATTTTAAAATATCTGTTAATATTAAGAAAACAAAAGACAGCATCAACAGGGGAGGAAGCTCCTTCTGAAAAGCTCATTGTACAGAGGCTGTGGTCCTCTAGGCAGGCGGCCCGGGTTTGAATCCGACCTGTAGCTCTCTCTCTCTCTTTCTTTCCCTGTTTTCTGCGTCTTATCCACTGTCCTATTTAAAAAAAATAAAGGGATAAAAAGCCCCCAAAAATCTTGTGTATGTACTCAGGTTATAACCTAACAGAATAAAATGCTACATATGTCCTTTAAAAACACGTGGAGCTACCATTTTTTCATCAGGAAGAAGGGAGTTACTTCGGTTATATATGACAAATATATAGAGGTTTAGCGGTGAAAGTAAGGATCTAATGATCATCAAAATCTAGAATGAGCAAGGTGCATTTTTTACAACTGTGGGTGTTGAAATTTTTAATGTTAGTGTGTTATCTGTGTTAGCTCGGTTCATGTTTGAATACATGTGTGTGAGTCATGATTATTTGTCTCTCAGTGTTGTAATAAGTTCAGCCCTGTCAGACCTGCTGAGCTGGAGCATCTTGCAGTAAAGAATTTACCTTCTGTAACAAAACAGGCAAAAAAAAAGTGGTTATTTAAAACGTCCATTAAGCCAGCACAAATAGTTTAAAGCCTAAACAATGAATGTAGGGATTAAAAAGTGAGACAGTCTTAAGACCACACGTTGCATTTGTTTACCAGCTGTCTTCAGGAGTGTCTTTTTAAATGCATGTTTCTGATTACACAGATGTCTATGGTCATGATAAGATCTCCTGTCAGTGCAGAGAAGATGAGTTTCAGGAGAAGATATTGCAGTCCCACAATTTCTTGCTCATTCAGTAGAAGACACTGAGCGGTCTTTCATGGCTGTCGGATGTCTAACAGTGTTTGTAATGTAGAGCTGTGACAGGTTTCATCAGAGTTTGTACCTTTTGAATATAAATTGAATAGAATCAATAGAAAATCAGCTCCTTCCCCGTTCTCTCACAAACTGGAATGGATTCAGGAGAAAGCAACGCGATATGGAAATGTACTATTCAGGTAGACGGGTTATTGTACGACAAGATGGAACTGTATCACACAAACGTTTGTGACCTGAAGCTAAAATTCCTCCAAGTTTTGACAAAATTACTAATGTTGTGCACATCAAGACATGGTGCTCCTTTGCCAGCTCCTCCAGAAACTTGGATAGATTTCAAACAGAACACAGTGTTGTGTATTTAATGCACAACCTACTTTACTTAAAACACGTTTTCAGTCAACACTGAGTCTAAAATAATTTTTCTCAAGGCAGTTGTTCATCCTAATTTCTAATCCTAACTTTGTCCTCAGAACATTTCCAAATTAAAGCGGTCAAATAGAAGAAATGTGACATATTTGTCTCTATAATCAGATTTTTATAGTATAACAGCAGGTGTTCACCATTGTCCAATAAATGAAGAATATCACATTTTTAGTTTATTTCCTGTGGTTTGTAGATCGCTGTTTCACTCCTGATACACATCTTAATTATCGTCCAGCTCAGCGAGTAAACTGTTCCAGATATATGTTTCCAATGTGGCGCTCCTTCCCGTGTTTAACCCCCTCGTGTGTTCCCGCAGATGCTCCAAAGATCATGGGTGCCGTGGCGTGGTACACGTGGGAGGGAAACCCGACCAACATCAGCTGTGAGGTGGAGGCTCACCCCGGAGCCTCGTGGTTTGGTTCAGAGACGGCCTCCCGCTGCCCCACGCCAACGTCACCAACGTGAAGATCTACAACACGCCGACCGTCAGCTACCTGGAGGTCTGCTGCGACACACGGACACACAACAGCACAACACATGACACAACACATGACACAACACATGACACAACACATGACACAACACCAGTCATTGTTTCATCTAGAGCCTCATTGATATGGGATTTTTTTGGGAAGATATCTTTCTTAGATCTATCCTCGATCCCTCAAATACAGTTATCAAACACAAAGCCAGAACAACAACGTTGCATTGATACACAATTTTTTACTAATAATTAATATAATATCTATAGAGGAACTGAATAAATCTAGTTCTATCGGCACAAATCGGAGAGAAAATGAGCCAATACCGATCCTCACACGATATGCAAACATCGGCCGATAGTATCGCCCAGACGATTAATCGGTCGGGCTCTAGTCTGAACCTTAGCAGGGCATGTCAGCTTTCAAATATTTGTATCAACAAAGGCTTTGCCACATTATCAGATAAAGATCAAAATATATTTAAATTATTGATTTTTAGTATATTATACAAATTTTGATTGAGTCACTTTAAATTAAGGAATTAGAATTTGAGTACTCATCTCTAGGCTAGTTGTGATTCATGCAATGACCCTGAAAACACTTCATATGATTTAAGTGACTCTCCTGAGCAATGAATAGCTGACCAGAAGTTTCACTAGCGCTCTGAATATATATAATAGCAGCAGTTTAGTTCAGGGTGTTACTATGCTGAAGACGTCCTTGCATGTGCTTTGACTGTTCTCATAAAGAATCTCTTTTAATCAGCTATGAGGAAACTCCTGAATGGCACACATCAGTTATTAATAATGAAGTCATAATGTTGACCATATTCAAGCTCTTGTTTATTATTTCTGTCCCCAGGTTAGCCCTTCTCAGAATGACTTTGGCAGCTACAATTGCACCGCGGCCAACATGATGGGCACCGAGTCCAAGGAGTTCCTTCTTATCCAAGCAGGTTGGTCCATGAATCCATATTTTGTGGTGAAATCTTGATATGTTTCAATCTTTCATGTCTTGGTATGCCCGTCACCAGTCTTTTGCATTGCTGCTGGGTTATGCAGCCTTTGTTTGATGGCTTGTGGCCGTCGCCTCGCTCACATTAGCAGGATGTAGTGAGCCTGTGTTGAAATCCAACAGAGACACTGGGATAGAACGGCTTCTATGCATGCTGCTGAAGGAAAACTTGAAGTGGTCTCTTAATTTTTCTTGTTTTCCAGAGCTGTAGATGGAACCACCCACACAGAGATAGGAGTTCAGAGGTCAAACAAACCCCCCAGTGTGGGGACATAAAGAGCTGAGCTATAAAAACCGAGACCCATTAGAAGTAAGAGATAACTTTGGTCGGTTAATTCTAAAAGCTATCAGAAGTCGTTGAAGAGAGCAGGAATATATGCGTTATGCATATTTAATGTACTCATAATTTCCTTGAGACATTAAACATAGTGGTTGCACGGATAAATCGGTGTATTGCAGCATGCACTGTGACATTTATGTTGCGATTATGTTTGGGATGTCCAACAGATGGAATGTAAATAGACAATATTAGCTGGACTTTGCAGAGGAGAGTTAGCCTGATCCACAGCTCAGACTCAGGTAATGAGAGAAACTTGAAACTGCAGTGGGACTGTCCTTAAGCTCCGGGTTTTTTGCTCAGCTTTAGGTTTGTGCTAGCTTCATTTGGTATGGAAATTGTTTAGGATCCATTAGAGAGAGTGGGTCACATGGGACCTTGTCTAAATACAGTGTAGTTGAATTAATTATGCTAAAAACCCCTCTGTTGCCACTGTGTAATATACTGCAGGCTATTGAAGGTGTTTTCTGTTTTTTTTTCCTCCGTTTGCTGAATGACTTATCAGTATGCCTGAAGTGACTCCTGCCAACCTCAGTTGGAATAAAAGAGCAGGAAAGAAAACCCTTCAAAGACGTGTTCACTCTTTATCTTCCACATCGATGTTTGCAACGGCATGTTGAAAGAGCTTCTCTAAACAAAGTCATTTAATTTTCAAGGGTAGTGGAGCCCTCTTTCCTTCACATGCTCGTGTGACATTATGCAGAAGTGATTAAGGAGATGTAACATTACAGGGTCGAGAAAACATGTCGCCGGTGTTTCTGTTTACTGGATGCTACGTAGCTCGCTCGAGGATATCAGTAAACCAAAACGTCCATACATCAAATGATAATAAGATGATTCATTGAAAGAGGACATATTATACCCCCTTTTCTTCCTTTTTCAAACAGTCCCCTGTGGTCTAAATGAAACATCTGTGCTGTGCTTTGGTCAGAATATAACATGAATCAAGCACCAGAGGAGGTTTGTGACCCTGTATAAACCAGCTCTCTCAGAACGCTCTGTTTTTGTGTGTGTGTCTCTTTAAATACAATGAGCCCCCCCCCCCCGAGTAGACATCACTCCTCTGTTGCGCGAATAAAAATAGCGGACCTGAGAAAAAGTTTTGCTCTAGGCTGGGGGTGGAGTCCATGGGTGGAGATACCAGGGGAGGGGAGGGGATTTTTTTTAACCAGAATCCCACTGTGACATCACAAGGAGAGCAAATTAGAAACGAAGCATTTTCCTCTGTGTTTTAAGACTTATGCAGACCACAAACAAAGGACTGGGTGGGTTTATTACACATGTTGTTGGTCTGTAGACACTCAGGTTACCCAGATATATGTTCAAAAACACTGTACAAGTGGATTTTTCATAATTTGTCCCCTTTAAATATCGAGAGTATTCTGGTTTAGGTTTGCAGTAAATTTTTGTGGTCTGAGAAGTTTTAACCAATAATGTAGGTGCTGGATTTTTCATAATACGTCCCTTCAGAATAAATGAGTGAGTTTTCTTGTACTAGATCACATTTTCTTCTCTAAAAGTAAAAATTCAAAGCTTCCCAGAGACGTGAGAAAAAAAGTCCAAAAGTAGAACCATTTTTTTTTCACTCTCTATTAACCATGAATCTCAAGTATCTGTGTCTAAAAAGCTTGAGACCAAAATGGAAAGGATGAACACAAACACCCAGCTGGCGTGATGATAATCATAATAAGTCACCCTGGATATAAATAACAGTATGTGAACGTTTGCAGACGACTTCTTAATTGACTCCAGTTTAATTTCCGTCCCCATCTTCATGACTCAAAGTGAAACTCCCGCCCGTCACTTCAGACTCACTCAGGCATGTTCAACAGATGTTCACTCATTTGGTGACCAAATGTTTTCCGGGCATTAGAGGCACCGCGGAGAAGTACATTATCAGGAGGTGATAAGTGTTCGGCATCAATCTCCAGTCCCATTCAAAGTCATATTAACATTTGCAGTAAAACATAACTTATTTCATACTACCTCAGACTGTTACCTGTGTATGAACAAGAACACAGGTACACACACTGATGCCTTTCCACTGATGACCAGCTGTGTATTATAAGCCACAGCGATGGCAGACATTGACATATTGTGGAATGATTGAAATGACAGTGTGGTTCTGTAGATGACTGTAATGAGAGCAGCATGAGGGCTTCTCTGTTTTTGTCGTAAATAACAGCAAAGAATAGCTCAAGAATGAGTCACAAGAGAGATGAGGTAGATGCAAACTCACTTGGAAATTTGACAGTTTTATGCAAAGTAAGGCAGGGTACACATTACAAGATGACTCGGCCAAGTTTGAGCCCCATTTTCGCCCTCCGACAAAACCAAGCAGAGTTCTGATTTTAGATGGAAAGATGAGTTTATCCGATTTTCCCAAGCTGTGAGGTGTTTTAAGAGGGATCAATCTGTTTGAGAAAAGCAGTGGTTACATCATTTTGAAATCGTTAATATGAAAAATGTTCAATATTTATGATCCTGTTGTTTTGGGCAACGCATTTGTTAATTTAATGAAACGACGACTAATCTGTATGTGAGCTGACCATTCTGACCATTTATTTTTTTTGTCCTTTCTCTTTTACAGAGGTGCCATCAGCCCCAGGAATTCACATGGTGGAGCCGTTCTCCAGCACAGCAGTGGTGCATGTCAGGGAGCCCGAGTCCTTGGGTGGAGTGCCCATTATCAAGTACAAAGTGGAGTGGCGTTTGCCCGGCAGGGAGTGGACGAGCAAGGAGCACGATGCTGACGAAGGTGAGTGATGCATTTCTTTTTTACTTTTTGCCTCTGCTTGACTCTCAGGAACATGTCTGAACAATCTTTACAAGAAGCGTGGATTTACAGACATCATTTGAAAAGAAACCTCAATCCAGACTTTTTGATAGCATCATATTTTGTCTTTTGAAGCCGATCAAAAACATCTGCAGTGGTGTAGCTTTTGCTTGATGTAAATAAGTGTTGAGTTAGTCTGTAAGACCAAAAAAACACTTCTCCCCTAAAATATCTTCAAATCAAATGAAGCGGATGCAAATGATGTCACTAGTGTTGCATAATCAAGAATGGCCTTGGTTTCAAGTCCGGTCTCCAGACTACTTTTTGAAGGGTCTTGGTCTCGTCTGAGACTAGGCAGACTCCAGATTTTAAATCAAGACTAGTCAAGACCACCACTGGTTGCCCACTTTTCCAAGTCATTACTGTGATTGGATAGAAAACGCCTCTTTAATATATATAACTTATAACTTCAATTTATTTTCGTTTGATTTTTATCCACCGGTTACAGCTGCAACCTTCCCGGTGTTACGGTCTAAATGAGTGACACGAGATGATCATTTTTAATTTATATTTATGGCCTAAGTCTTGTCTTGGTCTTGCCTGCTTTGGTCTTGGTCTTGACTCGTTCCCGATCCCTAATTGTTTTGGTCTTGTCTCGGTCTCTGAGCACTCTGGTCTCGAGTATATCTTGGTCTCGATTACTCTGGTCTGGACTCCAACACTCGATGTTACTCACTTCTCTCTTTTTTGGGGGGAAATGTTTTCTGAGTTCTCTTCCGATGCATCACCTGCGTCAGCTCCACCTTAGTCCCTCTTTAGCTTTTTAAATCCTGAGCGCCCAAATGACACAGAAGTCATCTTGAAGAAGGAGCTTCTACTCTGACTCCTGTGTCTGTTGACAAATAAGATCCATAAATCGGTTTAGAAGCCATGTAGAAAAAGTGCTAATTAAAAACTCTGACTTTCCCTCTTTATCCTAATGTTTGTACTTTTAAAGTATTAAGGTAATCCTCTTAATTTTACGTTGACAGAATGAAGAGAAACAGAGCGGAGACGTTTCATGCTGCAACGTTTCACAGAATATGATATATGAATCATACAGACTCGAACTTAAAGGGGGAGCAACGCCTCTGATGTAACATTAGCAACATGGCTAAATTAGGTCATCTTCTTGTTCTATTGACGCAAAGCACCATGGGAACTGTAGTGCCAAGACATTAAAGGCTTTATATGTGATCCATATTTTTGTGATCCAGCAGATGTCGCCCTTGAGCACCAGCATGAAACCAAAACAACTCGCGCTGCATTGTTGTGTTAGCATGCTAATGCTAGTGATCTTTATTATGCTGGTATCTTCACACTGCAGGTAAATTTACCTGAAATGAGCGTGATCTAGAAACACAGTTAAGCAGTGAGTACAGTATGTTATTCTTCTTTTCTCTAATCCCTCAATTAAACAACTTTTATACACGAGGGGAGGAGTCAGCCGGCCGTCCGGGCGATGTAAACAAACTGAAGATAGGACTCTGAAAACTCAGAAAGCATCACAGACAGTGGGACTCGGGTGTTACACCCATTGTAGACAGTCATGACTCACAGAGTTATTTTCAGAGGAGATACTTGATTTATATTTAAGTGTGAAAAATCACATAGAAAGCCAATCTCAAATGTAGATTAGTTGTATGAAAACAATACAACTACATGAAGTACATGCAGACTACTTTATTATCATGGATCTGAGTAGAAGCCTGACGCTCTAAACATCCTTCCACATAAAAAACAATGATTTTACAATGAAAACTTTGGGACACAAAGCATTATTTGTACAGTAGTGTTGTTGTTATAAGGGTCTATCTCTCTTTAGAGCACATCCACTAAATGAAGCAAATACAGACTCAAAACTTCAGACAACCAGCCAGCCAGCCAACAACAGTTAATCCAAACGCGACAGCAGCTGATGTCAGGAGGAGAGGTGGAACACAGTGTAGCCCTAAATGACAGCTCAGACACATGACAGGCCCCAGATAATATCCACATCCCACTGAGGGGTTTGTGTGGCTGGTACAGATCTGGATGGCTCTCGCCTGTCTGCAGCATGGGACGTATCAGTCAGCGGCTGACAGCCCCCGCTGTCAGCTCAAGGCCCAGGAGCCGCCTGTCTACAAGCGTCTGCAGGAAACAAAACACATGCACCCACGCACAAACAGCGACTGTGACCAAAAGTAAAAAACCACACCAGCTAATCCACATCGGTTAGATTTTAAGGCGCTTCAGCACTGAAAGGACCTCGACTGCTGCACTCGACATTGCATGCATTTCTGTTATTGCACATTTGCAACATTGAACTATAAAAATCAGGAATGGGAAAGACCTATGACATGCCAGTGAGGAAGAAGGTGTAAGGTCGGAGATAAAGAATGATCAAGTGGAGGAAGAGCATCAAGAAAAAGCTTTTTGAGTTTCAAGTGTGTTGAACAGCAGAGTGAACCAGGGCTGCCATCACATGTTTGAAAGCAGTACTGCCACATATAGACACCACACCCACCACTGTGGCTCCATATAGAGACGTCCACATCTGCACTGTGCACATGCCAGGGAATTTACAGGTCAAAATTCAACATGCACATGCTTTTCCTTTATCCTTTCATTTGATATTTAATGTGTCAGAGATCTATATGTTTTTATCGCGTATACTGTCTGCACTGAATAATGAATACTCCCCAGCTTCATTCATAATTCAGACAAAATAAAAACACTCATCCTTTCTGTTGCACAATGCCAGCAGATTTGTTATTCTGCAGTGTAGTGTCCACATGAGGTAATGATTTAATGTTTCTAATTATTTTGTCTGATTTTACATGCTAGAATAAATCTGGGGTTGCTTTCAAATGTCCGACAGCCCACCACTGACCTTTCAGTCTCACCCCGTCTCGTTAACCAAAACAAATCGTGCGTCATCTGAGTTTTTATTGTCAAAGATCTCGACTTCATCATGGACAGACAGTCATGGACAAACATTTTTTGTCATATTTTAAAACAGTATAAAGACTCCATGTCTCTATTTTTTTCTGACTTTTTAGTGTGTGGCAGTCAGTCCCCAGCTGTTCACTATTGTTTGATGTTTGATGATAAATAAGTCACTAAAAAACAGACTGTAGTTTTATTATTTTTTTGGAAAAATCATTCACCAGTAGTCAAATAAACAATGTGTTTCTGTGGGACTAAATCTAGAAAGTGCACGAGAGATTGACTTATGATAAACGACTTGCTGTGTTCATGCTAATAAGACAGCATGGCACCTGTTGAAATGTTTTTAATATTTCACAGGCAGCATTTGAGTTTGATAGCAGAGAGCACTGAGCTTTATCAATCTGTAGAAACACAGACATGTTAATGGAATAATTGTTGTTGGTTTTGTTCTTCATGACATTTGTTGACAGAAAGCAAACATTTCTTCAAAGCCTTATCCTTCTGTTTCTCAGCAGTAAGGGTTCAAATCCAGACATAGAAACATTAGGCACAAAATATGTCCATCCATCCATCCATACTGGTTTTCACGTTCAGGGTTGTGGGGGGGCTGGAGCTGATCCAAGCTGTTATTGGGCGAGAGGCGGGGTTACACCCTGAACTGTTCTCCTGTCAATCACAGGGCTGATATGCAGTATAGAGACAGACAACCAGCCACACTCACATTCACACCTAGGGCTAATTTAGTTTCACCAATTAACCTGACGAGCATGTCTTTGGACTGTGGGAGGAGAGAACTCCTGCATGCACGGGGAAAACATGCAAACTCCACACAGAGAGGCCCTGACTCAAACCAGGAACCTCCTTTCTCTGAGCCAGCAGCGCTAACCACTGCATATACATACATATAAGGTAATGGTTCCTGAGTGAACTGTAGAGCTTAGTTATGTTTTCATTGTACATTTTATATTCCTCTTAATGTTTTTTTAATGTGGACCCCAGGAAGAATATCTGAGCTCTCGGGTACAGCTAATGGGGATCCTAGCAAATAAAGACATAAACACATTAGATATTTATTCAATATTCACTCCACTCATTTCAAGTAGGAATAAAACTGCTGTATTTTTTCTGATACATCAGGATTATTACTGGGCTGTTGTTCTTAGTATTCCTCTGTTACTTGACCCTGTCCTCCACAATGAAAGATAAGAGCAGAGAGAAAGTGCTTTTTGGTATGAAAAGTGAATTGCAGGAGAACATCCTCGGTTGCCTTGGTGTCTATGACGTGCCCAAGGTTTACCTCTCAGCGGCAGCGGTCATACAGGGACTGTTGCCTTTGTGCAAACTAGTTTCACTTTGTCCTCAAATGTAGGTCTTTTTGATCGTTGTTGTTTATACTCTCTTCAGGATTTATTTTTTTAAATGTCATTTTTTCCCTGCTGCAAGCACAACAAATCAAACTCCCTTCAACTAAATCTTGTTTACGGTGTTGCAAAGACATCTCAGAGATTTCAGCAAATAACCCATTAAAAGTTATAAATAGGCCCCCGCACTGTTGGACTTTAATGATTTATTTTTTTGTTCTTTAAAGTGAGTGTGCCGTAATACCTTCAAAGATTGATTTTTCACACACTCCACACACTCCTTGATGCTGCAGTAAGTTTTGCACTGTGCTAACACAATGATTAAAAACAAGTCAGTGGAATGTGTGGCGATTGTTATGATTTGTGACGATAACCTTTTTGGAGAAGCTGAGGAAAGCAGCGTGCGGTAATCAGCGCTAAATTACTCCGGGGCCCGGCTGGAAATCTCATCTGAACATGAATGGTTTCAGCAGTGGCATCATTTTTTACTGATGATGTTTTGCTGCTAAGAGCCGCGCTGTGGATCCATTTGCGTCTCGTGCTTCTTGAGCTACAGCCGTTTCCCCCATTGCAGTCACTTATGCATGGTTAGTTTTGGAAGTTCTCCTCATTGAGACATTAATGTGAAACCCATTTAGAGTTTTCTCTCTGTGTCACGGAGATCGGAAAAAAAAAAAAAATGTTCCTCAGTTGTTTTTTTTCACCGGGGCCGAAAATTTGTTCTGAGCCATGAAATTACACGTCTTTGTACTACACGGTGAGATATGCAGTCAAATGGTCTTTGTAACAAAAGTGAGGAAAACACAGGTGTGTGTTTGTGTGTGTGTGTGTCATTGAATTCTCAATGGTGCCAAATGGAAATAACAGCCTCTGTCTAATGAAATGTGGTGTTTCTTAATAGGACATTTTATTATCTTTACCTATACAGTAGAACGATGGAACAAAAAGTTAAATCTTTAAGCACTTAGCTGCATGCTACATTTAATGCTATAGCTTAAAAATTGGCGGTGGAATCACTTCATTCACCATTTAAGGGTTTGCAGCTGCAGGCCGATCTATCAGCTCTCTCTCCATATTTCATGTGACACTTCTTGTGTTAGCACCTCGCTTTAATTAGAACGTGCCCTTTTCTGGCCCGTTGCTCTTTAGATGTGTTTCTGCTCTTTTTCTTTTCTCGCCGTGCTAACTAGAAATCCTACATGTGAGGATCACGTCGAAACCTTTTAATGAAGCGTGCCTTCTTTTGCTGATTAAATCTCCACGCTTAATCCACTAAGCAGTGTGTGTTTGCTTGTCTTGTACAGTGAGAATAAGAGGCTACAGATGGGCTGACAATCTTGAGCAGACACACAAAAAAGAACATAAAAAGCACTCTGTGATATAAAGGCAATCGTTTGAATGATTGTTGTTTATTATGGAAAGGAAGTAGGAAGGTTGTAACCGAGACGTATGAGTCATGTTGACATCGTGGTTGTGAAGGATAAAAAGAGATTTGTGTTCCCTTCTTACACTTGATATAAATTCTCTTGAGTTTTTTGACAAAAGGTCTCTTTGTCTTCTTTGATGCCTCATAAACATGACTTTAAAAAAAGAAGAAGGGAAAAGCTGTTTGGTTTCACACAAAATCTTTAAAGCCACAACCACATACAAGAAAACAAAAAAGACCAACCAAAAGAAAACTATGTTAACTCTACAAAAGTCCACACAGACGAGTCACGGTTTGAAAGGTTTCTTTCTGCAGCGAAACTTTCTTTGAGTTTGCCGTCAAGGTTTATGATCTCGTCACTCCTCACAGGTTTTTTTTTAAGGCAGGACTTTGAGAAGTGATGATCCATAGTCGGATCTTGCTGGTGGATGCTGCAGAGGTGGTAGTGGTTGAAGAGTGCCGTTGCTGACGTGGGGCAGCAGTGGAGCAGAGGGAGAGAACAGAAACCCTGCAGCTCGTGATTGTGGATAATGGCACAGTCAAGTGTGTAGCAGTGCTGCTCGAGACTGAATTGGCTTGCAGGTGTCACTGCATTTGAGGCGAAGTGATGGAAAAAAAAAATGGAATAATGAAAGTGGAAAAAGTTTAGTTTTTCGTTTAAAATTTCCAAAAAGAGTATTTGTTTGAAAGGAACTTTGTCCTGTTGACGACTGTCCCCAAGAGAGCAGATTAAACTTTTGGGTTGTATTTCCTAAAAGGGCCTCGTTTCTTCTTCTTTTTTTGACAAAGAGGAGGACATTGGACATGGACATTTTAGATGAAACGGGCCGGACTATGTGTTTAAGGCCATTTTCTCAACCAAATTTTGAGTCACACATTTGAAGTCGGGCAGAATTTCTGATATGTTTTGAATTTTGCTCGTGCGCCGTCATACTCGCTCAGTGAGCCCGAGACTTCAGCGCCTTTTCCCCCTGATTACCCCCCCTGCTGAACGGCAGACAGCATCTGAAAACGAGATGGCAACAGCAGTCCATGCCTGTTCTTGTCGTGTCTTCCCCCCTCCTATCACAGAAGATACAAACTAGAGAAACATCGGCAGGACCTTCAGCTGCCAGGGAATACTTTGTACGATTCAGTTTGCTAGTTAGCTCGTGTTTGTTGGTGATGTTAAGTGTGTGTGTTTGGATTTGAGACAACTGAAATAGACATGAATCTGACTTCAACTTCTGCCTGTGGGAGTTTCAAAAGAAACTTTATTGACAGTTGTCATTGCTCTGTCCTGATTTAAGTCGTACCATCAGGATGTGCTGGAATCAGAGCGTACAGTGTGATCACATAAATCATGAACTTTGGTTGTTCATCGTCAATGGTTCACTCGTTCAGTGTGAGATATATTCCACCCTGACATTTGCATCTTACAGTATATGTCTTACTTACTGTAAAAGGCTTCTTTGCATCCCACATAACACCTAAAAATGTAATTATTTTTCCTTTATTACTCGTTCCTTGTGTTGCCGTGTGGAATAAAACGCCACCATCTCTTCCAACAGACTTGACCAAGATCACCATCGTTGGCCTGAAGCCGGAGACCAACTACGAGGTCAAGATGTCGGCCATGAACGGCAAAGGCGAGGGCGAGAGCAGCAGCGCCTACCCCTTCAAGACCGAGCCAATCCGTAAGTACAGAACCTCGCCGCTCCTGTCCCCTGCTCACCATCAACACTCCTCTGAAGCCGAGGCTGTGAACCTGATACTGTTTCTCACTCCGCCGCCTGCTCATGTGTAGCTGAGCCCAGACGCTCCCCCCCCTACTCCCTTAACTCCTCTATCCTCATGCCAGAACCCCAAGTGCAACCTTTTTCCCCATCCAGGAAGGAAACGATAATCCCCGATGTCACCGCCCGCTTTATGATCCAGCTTGTCTGATAGTTTTAACTAACCTGTGTATCCTCCCTCCCTCCACAGTATCTATGTGCCTCTTTCCTCTTAATGTTTGCTTTGTGTAAGTCCGACCCTTCCATTTCTCAGAGCCTCTGCTTTTTTAAGACAACAACTCGTGTGATTTAGTGGAAAGCTTTCTTGAAAGCACTTGTGCATTCTCAGGGCTGATTCATACTTCAGTTGCGAGGGAGTGCCAGCTCTGTATTTATAGTCCGTTGACAGCCTGCATTGTTAATACAGCAGCCAGAGGTCGAGCCCTGCTGAGGATTTGTTTATTTCTCTTAATGGAAAAAGGCAGCGTGTGATGAAACGCTGGAGGGTGACGGACATTTTTGTACTTGTTTGTGAGAAAGTTTGAAAAAAAAGAGTTTCACCTTAACAAAGATACGAGGAGAAATAACTACCTGTCAAACAGATGAGGGAAGACGTGACCAAGTCTCATTGGTTTGTCGACCGCCGCGACTCTCGCTCCAGTTCGCCCGGCTGTTCTGAAATGACTCGCTGTCAGGTTTTTTTTCTCGGTGAATTATCTGGCGTCAAAGCACAGCTGTGTTAAACATATGGCCTCGTCTGCAACCCTTACAGCAGGTGTGCAACACCTGTCATCACAAATCAGAGTGTGTCGCAGTGACATAAAACGACGTGTCGACTTCCTGTTTGTTTATGTGCAGTCATGTTAGATGACGGCTGCTAATTACTTCATGAGTTAGACCCAGTGTTCTCTGTGATCTGATCTGTATCCATCCAGTTAGTGTTTTACAGAAATACCAAATAACTGAGGAGACTTCTAACAGTTGAAGAAGAAGTTACAATGTGATAGTGGAGAGGATACTGTGCATTTTATTTTGTCAATCGATTGAATTGGACAAGTATTGACTCTGGGTTAGGGTTATGGTTAGCTGTGAACATCCAGTTGTTGATATGATAACCCAAAAACAAGTCCCCACAATCAAACAAGAGATCAAGTTTTAGGGCAATAGTTTTGATTTACTTTCACAATCTCAAGTATTACAAACTGAATCCAAAGAGTAGATTGACAACAAGTATTGTTGCCAACTTCTTATTCTTTTTTCTTCGTTTGACCAGGAAGGCCATGTTGAGATGATTAAAAATAATCTCTCTTTTGCTCCATTCTTACAGTGTGTAGCTGTTAGCGCTGGTGTTTAATGGTTTACATGCAGCCATCACCTGCACATAGAGACGCTGTTTGCTCTGCTGCACAATAAGGGGTGCATTGTGTGTTTTTTTTAATCAGACAGTGTCTTTTTGATTCATTAACAAAGGGTTATTGGGCGCAAAAGCAGCACAATCCTTTTGTGAATCAGGACCCCAATGTTTCTTACCTTCCCAAATTGTGTACCTGGTTTAGGTTAGGTTAGGTTAGGTTAATTGGTGACTCTAAATTACCTGTAGGTGTGAATGTGAGTGTAGCTGATTGTCTCTAATGTCAGCTCTGTGAATAACTGGTGAACAGTCCAGGGTGTAACCCCGCCTCTCAAACGGGAAAAACTGTAAAGATCATGGAATAATGGAGAAATGAATACCTAAACTTAAAACAAAACAAAAAAACGCAGAGCTCAAAGGAAACCAGATTTCCCCTTTCATCTGTCTATCCACGGCAGAAATCCAAAAAAGAAGGCAACAGAGTTTTTTTTTCCATCCAGCGTTTTGAATCAGGGTCATAAATAAATCTTTGTTGTAGTGTGTACCTGCCTCCGTGTCACGCCTCCCATCTGTGCTACATCATCCCATTGCTTGTGTAGAAATAGCTCACCGCAGCATCCTCCTAAGTTTTGCATGATTCCCCAAAGCTGAAGAGAGAGGCTTTGTCCTACTTTGAGAGAGAAATCAGTGTCTGATGTAGTAATTGAGTTTACACGCAGTCAACTTTTTTTTCCTTTTTAATGAACAAACTTTGGGTTGAGCTGAAACTTTAACTACCTCCCAAAAAGATTAATTGGACTGCCATGTGAGCTTGAAGTCATTAAAAAAACACATTTCTTATTTGGAGGTTAATACAGCAGCTTTCTTAAAGTCAAAGTTAGCTGGAAAACGGATGTGAGACTAGATACAGGCAGAAAGCTCTCAAAAGAAACAGCAGCTGTGTCACTGAGGGTTAATGAAGTGGCAGGACAGAGTCGCCCTCTTCCATTATTCATATCTCTCATTTCATTGTCTCTGTTTCTTCTTTTTTGTTGTATTGTTTTCTCATCACCGTTTTTCCATCTGCTCTGTCTTCCATTGGACTTCTCAGGGCATTCTTTCACAAGTAAGTTTCTGTTCTGCCTCTCTTGTCTGCTTTTATTTTCCTCTGTAACTGTTTCCATACAAACCACATTCATTTGCTTTACATGTCTGTATTATTACAACATTGTTTTTTTTAAAGAAATATGCTTCAAAAAATTCAATGTTGAAATGTTCGGTAACACTTTCAACTAAGGTCCAATTGTTCACTATGACCTAGTTGTATATTAGCATGCTAATTAGTAGCATACTGCCTGGCTTATTAGTCATTATAAAGCGCTTATTAGTACAGCATGAGCATAGTCTATAGCTAATAGACCATTAACTAAGAGTTTGCCCTCCTAATGACTTCTTATTGATAGTAAGTTAGGAAGTTGTTGAACATGAATTATGATCTTAATATGCTTTACTGAGTTTGGTATGTAGAAGTTAGCAAAAGCATATTGAGATCATAATTCATGCTCAACAACGTCCCTAACTTTCTATCAAAATTCAATAAGCAGTAATAGATGGATGGATACTGTACACTGTCACAGCAGCAACTCCAGTCACAGTCAAGACACTCCATAAAAATGGAACAAATACCAATCAAGGCACATAAAGACAAGTCATCAAAAGTAATAAGATCAGTTTTTAAAAACCTCAAATTTCGGAATTTAAATAAAAGACATCCTAGAAATGTCATTACCATTTAGTGTGTAAAAGTATCCAGTGTGCGAAATCTGTTAAAAAGTAATAAATGAGTGTTTTCATAAGGAGGAGGTTACAGTGTATTGAGGGCAAAATCTTAGTTAATGACCTATTAGCTATAGACGATGGTCATGTAGAATTAGGTACTAATAAGCAGCCAGTATGCTACCAATTAGTTAGTTAGTTAATGGTGATTATTGTGACCTTATTTTAAAGTGTTACCAAATGTTGTTGAGGAAATCATTTTGTCATGGGTAAATTCCACTGACACCATCATTTCCCCCCTGCTTTGTTATCATTTCATCATGTGTTGTTCTAACTTTCCAACCAACAGCACATTCTCCATCAACACGAGCGACTTGACATCCTGTCGCTATTTTAGTTTTTTGCCAGGTGGTCTCCTTTAGTTCAACTTATTCATAATATCTTTATTATTTTAAGGATATTGATTAAAGGAGAGAAAGTTAGTGTTATAAAAGGTCTTCAAAGATAGTCTCAGAGTCAACACGGAGGAATGCAGGTGTATTATTATGTCGTTTTCTGGTGATAATGCTTAAAAGCTTGGAAATGGAGCGCATAAATGGCCACTTATTGGGAGAAGATGAGGGAATATTTTGTGCTTTCAATGCCCAAAAATCTACCTAAAGATGCCACACTTAAAGACTATATATAACTTCCAGTAATGGTGCAGGTGGGTTCTTAAAATGGTTTATATTGTTCTCAGGTCTGTTTAGAAAAAAGGGTTTGAACTGCTCTTATATATAACACCTATAACTGGTGTGTTTTTTTTATTAACACAACTGAGGCCAATGACTTCAGGTCTAAATGATTTGGATGCAAATCTTGAATCTGTACATTCACAATATCATCCCTGTTTAGAGAATGATCCTGGTTTTGGACATGTTCATCATTGCACAGCTTCAATACTCAGCTTTAAGATTCAGGTTAACATGTAGAGAAAATGTGTCCTTGAAAACGACTCATTGAGGCCTGCAAGAATAGTCGAAATGTCTTCGCTGGTTGTGTTGTATTTTATCGTTTGGTTTGGAATTCAATTTTGGAGTCAGAAGTTTAAATGCTTTTCTGAAAAGAATACCTTTTGAATGTTTTTTTTTACTTTTAGGAGCATACAAGTGTGTGTTTGTCTCGTGGGTGTATGCAAGACCTTTGAGAGTCTGACAGCTTCATGTAATTGTTAGTTGTTGGTGTAAGGGAAACCGTAACACAACAGTTGACACAAAAAGAAAAGTAAGCTAACACTGTACAAAACACACTGAAGGATAGGACGCTCGAAAAGAAGTTGAAGGCTACAAGGTCTGCAGAATAGTTGATAAAACACATGCAGTCATCGGTCTCACCTTTCTTTGTTCCTTGTTCATGAAAAGCTTACAGGCATTCATTTTTTAAAAATACAAGGAGGTGTACTTGGTTTGAACTTAAAGGTAGAACTTTTGGGAAGTTATTCTCGGCATTTCTCCCCTTAACTTTTAAACAGCAGTCTGCAGCCACAGTCCAGCATCCAGGGACCAGTTCTTGTTCCAGAGCCAGGACCTTGGTCCAAGGCTAAGGGGTGATGTTTTTTTGATTGGCCAGTTAAAAGTTGTACCACGCTGCAGCTGAAGATAGGTCTTACTGCCGCTCAATAAAAAAAAAGAAATGCCTGCAAAATGAAAACAGAATGTTTGTGTTTGGTATTAGATGTGTTTTATCGGTAGGATACATTATAGTGATTATAGCAGGTTGACGTTTATGTCAGGGAGGATTTTTTGAGCCTTCTGTGTCCTCCTCTACCCCCCTTGCA